CCAGTGCAAAAAACCCCAAACATATAAAAAAATCTTACCCTAAATTTGTATTTTGTACTACGCCTCAAATTCTTCACTGTGTAGGTAAGATCGTCACCATCATATTTTGGCTTGAAACCATATCCCTGCAGAATTAAATAGGATATTACTTGAAACATATTTGCAGAGCAGACCATGTAATACACTTCACAGAAATAAATTACTGCTTCATACTCTAATTGTTGTACTCCTCTAACATAGTAATAGGTGCACCTTCATTGTGTGAGCACAGGATTTTTTTTGGGGGAGAGGAAATTATTTAACCATTCTGTAAGTAGTGGAAAGCTGTGAAGAAGAAGAAGCTGTGAAGAAGAGAAGAACAGTAAAGAAAAACCACATACATTGCCAATAGAAATTATACCTAATGCTTACAAAGTGTAGAACAGGACACATTTTAAAACAAAAGTGAAGACTGAAATGAAGTTTAGAGGGATCACACTTCACAGTGCAATTACTTGGATCCAGCTCTTATAAGGCTTAACTTTCACATGCAAATTCACCAAGTTAAAGGCAATTTATAAGTCTTGGCAAGACTGGTGCTTAGTAACAGTAGTAATGATTACTGTCACAATAAAAAGGTGAAAGTTATATGGCTTGGTCACAGTAATGACAAATCATTAGCTTAAATTCAGAAAATACAGGTGCTTGTAGAATATTCTAGCAAAAGTAATCATTGTTACATTTATTACAGTAATGTATCAAACACACATATTTTAGTCTCTTTTGTTATTGAAAATAAGTATTCTAAACTTACTGAGTTCTCATCCTCCATCTCTAATATATATGAGATTCCTTCATCTGATGGTGTTCCTGAGGGTTTTGTCCACTGTAGGGATAACCAAGTAACTCCAGCATTAATCAGCAAAGGACTTGCTGGTGTGGTTGGGGCAGTGCCTGAGGTATGATACAGGACTTCTTCACTAAAACCACTGTTTAAAACAGACAATATGTAAACTAACTGAACATAATAATTAATATATAAACCCCACAATTATTAAACACAGTTATGACAGTTTCTTGGACATGTGCACAACTGGAAATTGCAAGCTAGTACATGCAGACAGCTTAACTTGCCCAGGAGTCTGCCAGTAAGGAAACATTGAAACAAGGTTAATATGTTCTTAATTGAAATATTTCTTTGTATGACTTAAAAACGTTTTGTTCACCAAAACATTCTGCTTTTTCATATGAAGTCCACACTCTAAAACAACACAGGTCTATATGCACTAATGTACTAATACCACAGCATCCTTCCTATTCAAAACAAAACCATGAAGACATAAAAGCATAGATGGAAAGACCTTCAAGAAATTTTTGATTACCAGGCAACAATTACGTGCTTCAAGTATACTGTGAAGTATTAGATGGAAAGACCTTCAAGAAATTTTTGATTACGAGGCAGCAATTATGTGCTTCAAGCATACTGTGAAGTATTCGTTTCTCTAGTGATTCCGAAAATAACAGAATAATAGCCTCATTCAATTTTAAGTTACTTTAAGAGTTGCCAACATGAAAGTCTTATTGCAGAACAAAGTAGAGTGTACACCAGCGAATCTCCTAACACAACTGTTAACCTCATCTGATGACGCTTAGATACATCTTCAAGTGAAAATACAAGTAAGTTACATAAAAAGACCTAGTGAGGAAAAAGCCAGTAAAGGCACCCTACGCTTGCACAGATGGTCTGACACATACCCAGCAAGACTCTTCTCAGCTGGCATTTACTTAGAGATTTGCTGCTTCCACATCAGATCTGAAGAAACACTTATATACTTAAAAGATAGTCTGATTTTTTTACTGTACAAAGCTGATGTCAAAGATGTAATTTTAATCTAAAAGTTAGTAATTACCTAAGTGAGCATCAGGAAGCCCTGAACACAAAGTTCTCTGTATGGCTTAAACCCCAGTACCAATTAATACCTGAAGGGAACGTGCAGGAAGGCTGGGGAGGGACGGTTTACAAGAGCATCCACTG